CCTTTTTTATTGCACATCAGCAATGGATCTTACAATATATTATTGATTTGTCTCTATGGTTAAGTAAAAAATAAAAAGTAAATGTTCTGAATCGTTTAAAATAGTTTGAACTAGCATGGACTGTAACTTTCAGAACTCAGATTTCTTACACATTTCAGGGCCGGCTGGTTAAGGAATGTGTCGCAATGATGCAGGTTCACTAAGAGGTTTTACAAGCTGTATCTCGTTTCAGATGGGAAGTTAATTCCCTGATAGCACACGCACATCACAGAGACGGCTATTTGACATCTGCATTTACATCTGCAAGAGTGCTTGCTCATCTGCAGTACGTCTAGAGGAGGATGTTTCCTAGCAGACGTCAAATAGACGTTTAGAAGATGTATTTAAGATGTTTATGATTTAGAATGCATGTGTTAAAGACCTCTATCAGATGTTTGTACACAGCAGATGCTTTCCAGATTTTAACAGACCTCTTGCAGACGTACATATGTATTTTTTTTAGATATAGTTTCATTCCAGCCTCAGAGAGGGTGTGAAAAAGAGACCATTAGATTCTGATCTCTTGGTGAAAAATAAAATGGGAGAAACATTCAGCTGTCACAGATGTTAAGGGCAATACAACTTCTTGCGAAACAAAGGCACTGCGCCGTGTTTTGTTCTCCGAGTCATGGACACAGGCCCTCATTTCTCAGAGGCTCGAGTTCTGACAGGACCCCAAAACAGCCAGTCCAGACACGCAGATCCCGGAGAACCTGCGGACCCCTGACTGACAGCTGTGTCCTCCAATCAGAGCGCAGCGCGTGAGTGTGGAGGCGGGGCTTCCAGACTTGGCACTGCGCGAGCTCTCGGGAGTAAATGCATGGTTATGTGTCATCTCTCTGCAGTCGTGTAGCGCTCGAGCGCATTGCTCGGTGACTTCTCGTCAGGTCTGTGAAGGTGTCCGGCGTTTCTCTGGGATTATTTCCGCCAAAACTAAACGGGCTGATCGCAGGCAAGTGCGTTTCATGAGCAGTGCTGTCTGCTATCGACCTACTTTTCTTCTTATATTTACTATATGCACACATGCAATGCTAGTTTATACTTTAAAGTGTATTTCATATATCTGGTTCAGTATTCAGTTTTTTAATTCTTCAATTTTGGGGGGAAAAGGGATAATAAACAATGTTTTTTTTCTCTATTCATTTAACTTTAAATAATAGATTAAAATAGTTCCACACTTTTTAATTGCACGCATGCAATCACTAATGTGTCCTTTTGTGAGCTCAACCCTGACTTTTTAACTCACTTTCTATAATAATTATAGAATGTGTATACATGTCTATGTCAGCAAGCTGAAGGCTTATCCAGCTGTTTCTCCCCCCAAAATTGAAAATGAGTCATTGCATCACACATCATTACCAAGATGTTGAGTCGTTACACGTCTGCTGAAGAATAATACATAATTGTATTTCAACGTAGAATTTTTCAATCAAAATTATAGTTTAAAAAGCAGATGGATGCTTATAGGAAAGTATCTCATGTTTTCTAACTGCTCACCATTTCGTTTTCACCTTTTAGAAGTACAGATACTCCCTAGCTCCTCAGTCAATATGGGCTCGAATGCATAATGCTTCAGAATGCTCAGTTTGTCTGGTCCTCTCTCCTCCAGGATGGGTGCTGGAGACGGGTTCCGTGCCCCGGCGGCGGTGATCTCTGCTGGGCTACTGAGTGTGCTGGGCCTCTCGTGGTTCTGGAGCTTGCTGGCTCTTTTAGGAGTTTATTTATGTTCTGGAGGATGGAGGTTTCTCTATGTGGCTGCATGCACCATCAAGAGAGACCTTGTGTGAGTATAGCCTACTATCACTCACTTTCTTTAGTCACATTGTTTGCCCCAGTGTGTACGATGTAAAAGGTGTGATGTACTATTAGCTAGTCATGAGACCTGTTCAAATAGAACTACTATACACACATCTAGCTCTTTCTTTCTTTCTCTCCTCCAGTGGTCTGTGCATACTGTTGCGTGTGAAATTCTTCATGCATCATTACATTCGTACGCGCAGCACCGTCCCGTCCATATTCGCCCAGCGCGTGGCACTCCACCCGGACAAAGCGGCTCTGGTGGAGGAGTCCACGGGCGAGGTGTGGAGCTTCTCTGAGCTGGACCGGCGCTCGAACGCGGTGGCGCAGTGGGCCGTGGCGCAGGGCTGGAGGTCTGGAGACGTGGTGGCCGTCTTCATGGAGAGCCGGCCGCTCATGGTCGCGCTGTGGCTCGGTCTGGCTAAAGTGGGCGTGGAGCCGGCGCTCATCAATTTTAACCTGCGACGCGATCCGCTGATGCACTGCATGGGCGTGTCTGGAGCGCGAGGGATGGTGTTCGGGGCGGAGCTTCTGGACGGTGAGACGCGTACTGATTTGTTAGTCTGTTCGGACGTGATGCTTTTTCAAAGGCCATTGGAGATGTTTAGAAAAAAGTGTGGCTAATAGCTGATGGGATATACATAACACAACTTAATATGAGAAAATGAGACAAGAATGTATGTATATTGCATATATATATATATATATATGCTAGTGCACGACCTAAAAGTTGAGAAAAACTCAAAATTAACTTGAAATATTTATGAAATTTGATATTTATGACATCATACCCTACTTAGTATATAAATGGTTGTCCGTTCAGAAGCTCTGCAGAATGAAGATGTGTTTCTGGCT